ACCAGAAATAACAAACATGGTCAAAGCTAATGCAGAAATTCTGTGGAATGGCATACATTTATTTCAGTTCCTCAAGTCACTCTCGTATCATTTATTTATTTATTTATTTATTTATTTATTTATTTATTTTACATCTTGATCACAGCCCCTTCCTCTCTTACAAGTCCCCCTCCCTTCACACAGACACACGCATTTTCCCCTCTCCTTCTTTTCATTGAACGGGGAGGTCCCCCATGGTTACCAACCCACCTTTCACACTACATCACTTCAGGATTGAGACCAGACAAGGCAGCCCAGCTAGGGAAACAGGATCTAAAGGCAGGCATGAGCAGAGTCAGGGAGGCCCTCACTCCATTTGCTGGAGGACCCACATGAAGACCAAGCTGCACATCTGCGACAGATGTGCAAGAGACCCAGGACCAATCCTTGTATGCTCTTTGTTTGGTGGTTCAGTCTCTTTGAGCCCCCAAGAACCCAAAGTAGTTAATTCTATAGGTCCTCTTGTAGAGTCTTTGATCCCTCTGACTCCCTCAGTCATTCCCCCAACTCTTCCATATGACTTCCTGGGCTCTGTCTTATATTTGGCTGGGGGTCCCTGTATCTGTTTCATTCAGCTGCTGGGAATTATGCTAGGGCCCTGTCTACAAGCATAGCACAGTAACATTAACAGTGTCAGGAACTGATTCCCTCCCACGGGATGGGTCTCAAGTAAGACCAGTCTTTGGTTGGGTATTCCGTTAATCTTTGTTCCATCTTTGTCCCTGCACACCTTGTAGGCAGGAATAATTTTGGCTTTCATTTTATTAATCAGGAATTTCTTCTTTTCTCCTTAGTCTTTATTATTGGGAACTGAAACTTGCTGAAAATCCCAAAACTGTGGTAAAGATTCTGAAGGCTGACAGATTAGAGTTTCAGGGTTGTAGAGAGTTTTAATGTTGCTCTATATAAGCAAATTACCTTCAGCAACCTTTAATTCTCTTTCTAGATATTAATCACATAGATCCGTATCTCACATAAGATCTAGCTGTAAGGTTAAGGGTCTGAAATGAATGAACTTATTGGACCAGGAGTTTCCATCAAGGCCGAAGCTAAGAATTTCATCAGTAGTACCCGAGAACTTCGCCAGAGACTTCCCTGCTTTGCTGTAGCCTGCATTTGCTGGGGGACAATGGATCTGGCAAGTGAATTTATTATCTATTTATTTATTTATTTATTTATTTATTTATTTATTTATTTATTTATTTATTACTTTATAAAGCATTTAGGAACCCTGGATCCATGTTTCTTTGCGTGCCAGTTTCCCTCCCGGTTGTCACACTTCACAGGTGGGATTCCTATGAGCCTACAGAAAAGCAAGACTGCCCCATTCCTAAAAGCATCTGTCACCATATCACGTAACCACAGGAACCCTCAACAGAGGCTGAGTTAATGGGATGTCAGGACTTAAAGCTCCCTGGACACATGGGTTTCTACTGAAAAATAAACCAATGCACACACTCACCCAAATCTGCGGCTGCCATCGAGGACTGCATGTATGTAGCCTCCAACAGTTCTGTTGTTTATCCTCTAAGGGGCTGTATTATGTGCATGCGTGCACCCGAATATAAAGGCCAGCAGTCAAACTTGGGGTTGTTCCAGCAGAGCCGCTTGTCTTGATTTTCCACACAAGGTCTCCATTGCACAAGACAGTGTGCCCCAGGAAACTTCCATCTCCCCAGAGTTGAGATTAGAAGCCTGCACCATGATGCTCCAGTATTTTGTTTATTTTATATAAATTTTTGTCCTTTTTCTTTAATTATCATCACAAGTATGTATATATATATATATATATATATATATATTCATTCATAGATACAACCTTCTCTATTCCTATAATGCTACCTGTATGCATTATATCTATGACCTCAGGTCTGACTAGTTGATATTGGATAACTAGTTGCAGGGAATCTTTCTAGGAAAACAAAAAACAAAAAATAAAGAACAAATACCCAATTCTTCCTCTATTAGAATTCCCATTTGACATCACTTCGTTATCCTTTTCCTGTTAGCATGACCATTGGTGTTCTTCTGGCTAGTAAACACACATATCCTGAAGGAGAATCTTCAACTGTCACTTCATTGAACCATAATAATTCCTAGCTACACTCTAAATATTTATACTTGTATTCACACATTAGTGTAATTTTTAGTCCTCTTTAAAGAGACATCTCTTTGCAACAACCGAAGAACCTATTGACCTGTCAAAGTTCAGAGAACAAGAGATCCTGTGTTGTTCAATCACAACCCAAGACCTCTACAACATGATTTCTGAGTGTCAAGCTCAGAGACCATTGAGGAAGGAGAGGGCAGAAAGCCTGTAAGAGCCAGAAAAGCAGATAGTTTGCTGTGAAATTATGTCTCCTATGAATGTCAGAGAAACTATACTCATGAAGCCTCACCAATATGGCTACCTACATATGACCTCAATAATGATACCAGGGGACATGCTAATATATGTTTTGTATTTAAATTTTAATGTGGGCTCTGGGGATTGAACCCAGGTCTTCATGTTTGTGACAACTACTTTATAGTCAGACTTATATCTCAAGTCCCCTGTATGTGATGCTTATTTAAATCACTCAGTATTACGGTAACTTGGATAGACACAGTGGCTACATGATGTTAATGTCTGGCTTTACAAGTGACCAAAACCTTATTTGATTTAAATCCATGTGCATGAACCAATTTGATCTACTCCCTATACATGCTTGTGTTAAAGAAAAACAAAACTTAACCAGTGTACTGGCTGGTTTTGTGGGTCAATTTAACACAAGTTAGAGTCATTAGATAGAAAGGAGTGTTAGTTGATAAAATGCTTCCATGAGGTACAGCTGTAAGGCGTTTTCTCAACTAGTGATTGCTGGGGAAAGCCAAGAACACAGTGGGTAGTACTGTCCCTGGGCTGGAGGTCCTTGATTCTGAGCAAGCTGAGCAAGCTGTGGGAGCAAGTCAGCAAATAGCACCTGTCCATGGATTCTGCATCAGCATCTACCTCCAGGTTCTAGCCCTACTTGACTTCCTGTCCTGACTTCACCCAATGATGGACTATGATCTGGAAGGGTCAGTCAAAGAAACCCCTTTTCTCCCCAACTTGCTTTTTGATCATGGTGTTTCATTACAGCAATAGAAATCCTAAGAAAACCAGTCAAATTGGCCCAGAATGCTGTTATGTAAGTAGGGACTTACAATGAGATAGACCAAATAAAGCAACTTCAGTACTGTATGTAATCAAGCATTTCTCTCCATTTATCGTTTTAGCATATATAATTGTCCTCAACAATGTTTAAAAAAACCGCCACATTCCTTTAGGATTTCCTCATTAATGAAATTTCTCATTCAGATGAATTGTTAAAAATCTCTCTTTTTCCTCATACTTTACTCTTAGCAGTAGTGTAAAACTGTAGTTATGATTCTAAGTAAAAAAAAAATTGTGAGACTATTTGGTTTATAAAATGCAATAAATCATATTTCTAGATTCAGACTTACATGCTGATTCTAGAAAGAGAAAGTCTGGGAGACCTCCAAAAGCCCTTCATGCATCAAAGAAATAGTATTGTTTTCATTTTTGTAAGTTACACAAAACCTTCAGATTTCCATTTTTATCTGTCTTACAACAAAAGAGATCCACCTATTGATGACGGTCTTGATTTTCTCCCATAACTGTTTCATTTTATTCAAATACTTTCTTATCAATGTCCGTTCTGCCTCCACAGTCCTATGGAATCACTGCTATTCCTTCTGAAGTTGTTCCTGGTGATCACCAGAACAAATTTCTGAAGATGATGGAGCCACACAGCATAACCCGAGCTATCCTTGCAAACTCAGAGATCAGAAACTTCCTGCTCTGGTATTTTTACTGAAATCAAGTGCTTCAAATATGTTAGAAAATGTGCTGACGTTTGAACCTTTTCACCCTCTGAAACTGCCCATTATCAAAAAGGCTCCCAAGTGCATGTCTGTGTAGGTAGACAAGAGTGAAATACATAGATCCCATCTTTGTGCTCCAGAGCTTTGCTGTTTTCATACTGTCTCCTTTATAAACAGCTTTGTGAGCTAATCTTGGCCAGTACCACCATTGGTCTGAACTTTAAAAAATACTGTTATTCATAGAACAATGTATGGCTACAATTTTAGCAATTCTAATGATAATAATGATAAAAAACTGAAGATACATATTTATTACTAAATGTTCAAAATATACTTTAAGAATAACTGTCTTTTTATACAAATGTTTCAGAGCAGAAATTGAATCTTTTCAAGTTTCACCAGTAAAAATATAGTTCAAACCTTTTAACATATTAAGAGGGGTGCGTGCTTAGACTGTGAGTGATGGCTGTAAGTCAAAGTTGATATTAAGAGAAAAGCTTGTTAACCTGTTGGATCAACCAGACACTCTTTTCATTCTAGGCAATAAGTTAAACTTACCTGGAATTCTGTCAACACATTAGGCACTGAGATCAATTTAAAAGATAACACTAAAAAGTATAACATACTAGACACTGGAGAGAGGATTTAGTAGTTAAGAGTACCTGCTCTTCCAGAGGACCAGGGATCAGTTCCCAGCACCTCACACCCATCTAAAATTCTAGGGCCCTGACATCCTCTTGTAGTCCTAAAGGTACAGCATGCACAAGCATATATGCAGGCAAAATACACAAAATATTTTAATATAAGATATACTAACGCTATTTTATAGAAATACTATGTCTAGATCCTCAGCAGTGTACACAAATCAATATAATCATTTTGGACAAAGTGGTTTTGTTTCAGAATACATATCTTTAAAGCCTACTTTTCATATATTCAGTTAAGCTGATACACTTAACTATTGTTCCCTGAAGATAGACTATAGTATCAATTATTTCTATATAAGAATCAGATGGCACCAAGACTCCCTTCTATAAAAGACATATTGAAAAAAAAAAGTATGATTCAGTGTTTCAAGTATTACTTGATCTTACCTGCTGGTTTACAGGGAAATTTCTGTTGATTTTTTTGATCTGCAATGATAAATTAATCAATCAATCAGTGAGAAAAAAAGGATAATTAAAAATGTCCCTGAATATTCTTGATGCTCTAGTTTTAAGAGTTATTTCATATGAGCCAGATGTGGTGATGGATGCCTTTAATCCCAGTAACTGACAGGCAGAGGAGGTTAATATCTGTTAATTAAATGCCAGCCTTCTTTGCACAACAAATTCCAGGGAAGCCAAAGCTACACAGTCTTTTAAAAATGGCTAGGAGTGGCTTATCCTATAGTAAAAAGGTACCTCACGTACTAAACTCCTTGCATATAAACCAATTTAATTAGATGTCATGCACAGTTTCAAAGATAAAGATTTTGAAAAATTATTAATTTGTCATTAATAAGAAGTGAAAATTCTTCTATGTGATATAAATGAACATCTGTCAAGAATTTTTTAAAAAGCAGGCTTTTGATTTAACTTCACACTATGACATGATAGAATAGCAAATGTAACTTAATATGCAAAACATCAAAGGGGATTGGAAAGCCAAACATTAAAGTATAATATATATATATATATATATATATATATATGTTTTTCAATCAGACTCCAAAAAGAATAATTTTTACTTTAAGAACATTTAATGAATTACATTGCATAAGGATCTAAAATCCCCAGAAGCATGGTTTCTGGAGTAACTTAGGGAACTAAACTTGGAAAACCAAATGGAAGCAGATGACACAGATGAGCAGCTGTGTACTAGTAATGAAATCCACTATTCTCCATCAGATCCATGAATAAATTTCAGCACCAGGTTCATATGGTGTAAGTTTCAGGTCAAACTAAAAATACACATTCTTTATGTGGGAAATTATGTGATTGACATGTGTTTTGCCTTTTTAAGCTCCCCTTAACTATCCATTAAGTATGAAATGTGCAGTTAGCTGCCTATAGGCACAAAGTTAGAAAATCAATAAACTCCTCTAACAGCACAAATTGACTTTCTAGGCATTTGTCCTATAAAACGTAAAACTGAAAGGAAATTTGCAGATGAACATATTTTGAGCAAGTGTTGAGAAGTTTTACACAGAAACCCTGTTCTCCCTTCATTGTTACCATAATGGTAACCTAGTCCTGTTACCCTTTACCCCACACACTAGGGTGTGTGTTTGCTGCAGATCCCTAAGCTTCCTATTTCTTTCCCTACAATGATTACCCTCTGTAACTGCAGACACAGCTGACTGCAAAACATCACATACTTATTAACCAGAAATCACATTTAGCAGCCAATAAAACCATACCTTTAATTGTTTGATTTTTAGAAATAATTATAGAAATGGTCTAATATTTTATGTGGGTTTATTATCCTTAATAGTGTACTACTGAGATCCATAACTTGACCTTTTAAATCTGGAAAATAGTTTGGGAGACCTCATTTGGAAATTTGAGTATTGGCTATGTAGCCAGACAGTGCAGGGCAGGAAGCTAGGATTGTGTAGCATAGGCTGAATATAGGCAGGTTGCTGTACCCCCTGACTCAGTTACACAATATAGAATGTCTCTTCTAGATGCATCGTATTACAGGCTCCTGTAAACCTAGCCCCAAACACATACACACAGATATATATAGAGAGAGCATATTTTCAACTTAACTGAAGGATTAAAAACTCATTTGATCAGATTCAACACCTATTTATGAAAGAAGCACTCACAAGAGTAGTAATAAAAAGAAACTTCATAACCAATAAAGTGATAGATGAGAACCTCATAATAAAACTTGATACAGAGTAGTGAAAGACTGAAGCTTTCTCCATAATGGGGAGTAAAACACTCTGGAAAGGTTAGTTAAAATGATTCTATTATAGTATCATAAAGACAAAGTACTTACAGAGTATCAGCAGAAAAAGAAAGGAAACATAAAATACAACTATTAAATGTCACCAAAGAAATTAAAGAAAATGTAAAGAAATATGACAACATTCTATAGTAGCATCTATGATTTTTATAACTGCCTATTTCAGTATAGTGTTTTCCCAAAAGTTTCACAGTTTCAATGAAACTCTTGATATATGTTTTTTCTACTTTTTGAGGAAATAGAGAAACCCTTTCTTAAGCTGGCTTTAGCTCAGAGATGTAGCAAATCCTACAGTAAAACAAGGCTTTGATCCTCTACACTGGAAAGAAAGACAGAAGATAAATGTTTTTTAGTTAAGGGAATCTAAAAGAGCCACAATCACACAGGTGATTTGAAAGATTTATTCACGTTGTCTTTAAGTTCTTTCAGTGATGTTTGACAGCTTAACTTGTATTGTCTTTTTTTTTTTTTTGATAAAGTGCCCTCTAGTCATTGATGATGTAGTTGACATTGCTCTCCGTCTCGCCTCTCCTGAATAATTCCACGTACTGATTTCAAATTTTCTACAAATCATCATCAAACTACCGGATATGGACCTACAACTGAGCCTGTGGATGCATGGAAGACAGTCTAGCACACCCTCTGAAATCCTTGAAGCAAAGTGTTCTCAGCAAGGTGCCGAGTTCATTCATGCACATCGAAAACTGGATATCCGTACACCAAGGAATGAATCTGAATCATCCCTTTTATATGCAAAAATCGGCTCAAAGTGAATTCCAACTTTAAATATAACCCCCCAAGCAAGCAAATTCTTTTAAAACATATATATATATAACTGAGATCCCACAGGAAAATGAAAAAATAATGGGAAAACATGATGTTGCTGATAACTTCCCAAGTAGATAAATCTATTAATCCACAGAGGAAAGAGTAACTACACTGCAATTTTCATAGTGAAAGTATTGCTAACAGCAGCAACATGGGGGACTTCATGTACACAGAAGCTCCAAAGAAAGAAAACGGTGAGTGGTTTCTAATTCACTCATCTTTGAATTCCCATACTTTGTACAGAAGTCAAGTTGATGAATGGAGCTGCATGGTGTTTAGGTGGATAAAAAACTGTCCTTAGCAACAAGGGGTATTTGCTCACAAACATTACCAAGATGATCATTGAGGAGAAACATTACTCCAAATCTCATAAGCAGGTATTTCTTTAATTAAAATACAATTACATCGCTTCCCCTTCCTTCTCATTTCATCCCTTCTCAGAATCGTGATCACTTATTCTTTATTATTGTCACACACATACACAAACACCCAACAACAGCAAACCTGCTGAGTGTCTCTAGTGTCGCTTGTAGGTATATGATTTTAGGAGGCTCATTTCTGAGGAAGACTAATTTTCTCTCTTTCTCTCAACAGTCAGTTTTCTGTAGGCATGGGGTTCTGTACAATTACCTTCATTTCATTTCAATTGGTGCCATTATTTCGATGTTGATTAAGAAGCCATGTTGTCAAATTCTTACAGATGTGGCTTCTCTGTCATACCTAGGAGAAACAATCTCTTAGAATACTTCCTGTCCCTCCAGCTCTTACAGATCTTTCTACCTTCTTTTCCACAATATTGCCTGAGCCTTACAAGTAGGTGCTGTACTCTAAATGTAACAATTGGAATTGGGGTCATGGTCAATTGTCCTCTGTATTTTGTGGCTCCTTGTGGTAGTTTTCTGACGTAGAAAACAGCTTCCAGGGTGTGGAGTCAGTCTCGTGAGAACGTGAAACAACATTGCTCCAGAGATAAACTTATCTGAAAATGAATTACATTAGTCTGTGGGCTCTTTCTGATGTGTGTTCATGCCACTGCTGCTGCTAATCATCTGCTATTCACAAGCAAAGAGAAGAACAAACATCATCATCATCATCATCATCATCATCATCATCATCATTATTATTATTATTTATTTTGCTTTACAAGGCCACAGTTGAGCTTATTCATTTTCCAGTGATCTCTTAGGCAAAAAAAACCCAAAAAAACAAAAAACATAAAACTGCTCAGGACCGCATGAAATGCAAACATAAGAACTAACAGTAAACATATCTACATATATAGTGGTTTTCTTCTTGACCATTCGTACATCTTATTTTTCTTAGGTCAGGAAATTTTTCAGTAGTATTTGTCTCACTTATCACATTCATGATTACTGTACACACAAACTGATAATGTGTGTGTGTGTGTGTAAGAGCATACCTCATACATACGCACACTCATATATATTCACAAACACTCATGCATATACTCCCACATACACAAACACACACTCACACTGATGCACACCACTGTGACTGATAGCCTAGAAGAAGGTTGCAACTATCCAAATAAGCCTTGTTCAAAAGTTTGCTTTTAAAGCAACTCATCTTTGTTTGTTTCAACAACGGCAAGAATGCAGACATGCAGGATAATTAGGGCTTATGCCGAAGATTTATTTTGCATAGTTTCCAAAATGCAATAAAAAAGTCCTAACTCTTAGGATAAAAGACTTTGTACCAAGAACATATAAAAGAACTGAAGCAGAGACATGGCCCTTGTTATATGGTACACATGTACACTGCTGTCATAATGGGCACTAGATAATGCCATAAAAAGTTACTGTATGGTGATCATGAAATGGGAAACAGAGTAACAGGAGGTTCCAACTAGGGAAAAGAGAAGAACATGAGGAGAAGGGACAAATGACATCAGTGATGTTTAATAAAGCCCCCATGGAATCATATTATTTTGTACTTACCTAAAATTATATACCACACACACACACACACACACACACACACACACACACACACACACACACATAGCTTAAAGAAAATTTAGCCTCTTGGGATGACAAAGTTTTCCATAGGAACCATGGACTAACAAAAACCTTAGCAATGCCTATCATTGGTATAGAATTCATATGGAGGTCAGTTGTTTCATATCCTGTTGACTATGTTTTGCTGAAGTCCATTCCTGCCACACTATGAGGCATGTTAAGTGGAGCCCCAGGAATTAGGAGATTGCTATTGCCAGTGTAATATGGGAGGTCCCTGTGCAGTGTTTATAACTTTGAGATGGATGAACTGTGTGCAACTGGACAGACTCTGACCAGAAAGAGGCAAAGAGATTAAGTTAGGCCAACTGATC